CTGATTTTTAAATGAGACATTGCGGGTTCAGTTGAAACAAGTAACATTTTTTATTTTAGTTATTTAAAAAGCCATGTAATGTAGCAGGAAATGGAAAATGAAATATAAAATAAAATACAAATAAATGAAAAGAAACGTTATTCCATCAAACCAAACGTCCCATAAGGGTTGGGTTCTCTTAAGACCAACTTGTTTCCATGAGCCCTATGAGACCAATTGCGAACGAAAACATACTAAACTTTCATATCAAAAACACTGTAAATGTACAAAAACAAACTCTTACAATGTTTTTACCATGAAGATTCAATATTATTCTCTGGTCTCACGGGTTTATAAAATGAGACTGGTGTCACATGATGTCAATCTAAACTTTAAATCATTAAACATTTAAAAGAAGTCAGGGATATAATTCAGAACTTGTTAATAAGATGAGAAAATTGATATCATCACTTGATCTCATTTCAACAAATAAAACGAGTTACGAAATTCAAAAGGCCATTTTCTGTGGATACCTACATTTTGTTCAACTCAATATAGGTCGTTTACCCAAAGACTTACCCTGTAAATATTTATCATTAAAATTCGATATTATCACTTAATTTATCAAGTAAGATTTTAGTCGATAAAAGCGACATCGTATGCAACAATTTACTCGGTAAACGCTAACCGGTAAGACCTACACTTACCCGGTAGGACTCTCGATTCTTACCATCGGTTACTAGGTAAGATTCTCGAACATATTTATGGGAAACTTTTAAATCGTTTGACGATCAAAATGCCTTTCCATTAGAAATAGAGAAACCTTAATAGGCCATTGGCGAAACTAGAGACCAACATCAACATCTTAACTCACTATCTGAATCAAGTAGAAAGAAACATTAAACAAAATACGAACTAGAAATCAATTCGATTGACAAATTTCGTATTCTTATCAAAGCCAATGGAGGGTTTCAATATTCAAATGCCGACTGCAATATCTCACGAAACCCTAAAGAGAGTTAAACAAAATTATGCATATTAAACTATGCGAGGTCCCATAATATAGCATAAGATGTAATTAGAACAAGAAGAACCACAAATAACATAAGAAAAAATTAGAGATTCCGGAAAGAAGAACAAATTTGAGGAGCAAGTAGAAAAAGACGAACCTGATGTCGTCGCCATGTTTAATTTCCTTCAGGAGCCAACACTATGAAATTGAAGGCGAGATTACAGTAAAAAAGAAATTCACAAAATTAAATAATACAATTTTTTATTATAGATTACTTCTTACTACGATGATTTCTTATCAAATTTTCAAGTGATATCTATTCATAAAAATATATATTTTAACCAAATAACAACAAAACTATAATTAAATATTTTTTTAATTATAACTTAATATCAAATAATTTATTAATTAAATAATTATAATAAAATAAATTAAATTAAATTAAATAAATAAAATATTTAATTTAATTTATAAAATGTTTTCCAATGAATAAATGTTTATAATTATGTATTAAAAAATACTTATTTTTAGTGTTTCGTATAACTTTAATCTATTTACATGTATTTTTTTTAATGTTTTTAATGTTTTCTATCAGTAAGATAATATCCTAAACATGTTATGAGACAATTTTTTCATTGCTAATACATGCAATAAATACTTCCTAACATACCTGAGAATCTGCGTTGTTGCCCAATATAAAATAGTCGTTCAAGGTCTATGGCGTTTGACCTTCTCAAATGCTCGTATCCAAACATGGCAATAACAACTTGTATGAACTTCTTGACTCATTTTATCGTCATTGTTTTCCCAATTTGTAAATATTCGTCAATGACATCTGCTTACACTATATGCTAACGTACGCATTATAACAATACACTTTTGAATAGGTGATAAACTTTGTCTAGCGGTAGAATCAAAATTACTCTTAGAAGAAAGGGTCCATAGTTTTTACACCTTGAACTTTGCGAAGAAATAGTTGCCTCCTCATTTTAAATTCTACTCCGAAATATGTCTTCATTGTACATCGGATTTTCAAAGAAATAGCATTTGCATAGACATTGATCTGCATTTTCATGGCTCCGTTGCATATAGCTTCTTGACTGCTTTGTACCTACAGATGATGAAGCTTGATGTTGTAATTCATCGTATTGAAGCATAAGATCGCAGGCATCATCAGTAAACCATTCTACAGATGTTTTAGTGAGAAAAAAGATTAATGTTTTTAAATGAGAACTGCTCTCAAAATCTGATATTTATTCCAACTTCCGCGTATTGGAAAATTTATATAACCAAGTGAAGAATGAAGAGTCATGAAATTACCATGTAAGACGTGAACTGTGAAGTATCATGAAACTTGTGAATTGTCGATAATCATGAAATTATCATGTGAACCATGAACCATGAAGAATCTATTTTTACGACTATACTGAAAAAGAAAAAAAATACAAGTGACAGAAGAAGTTCATACATCATTTGTGGAAACAAAATAACTAAAAAACAAACGAGAAAATCGAAAAATGATCATCAAAACCACAAGGGTGATGTCTGATTCGTTTGAACTTGGGCTCCAAAGGTTAAAAGTGTCTGGAGGTCCCAGGTTCGAATCCAAGAAAGAATAAAAAAAATCCCCTTGTGGCCAAGGAGGTTCAAATGCGGTGACTCTGGACTACCCGCGAAGCGGGTGGTCGTCCTGAGATTAGTCGGCTCACATAGCGGGTTGGATATCTAGGTTAATAAAAAAAATGATCATGAAATTGATGAAAATAAATCCCACAACAATGACCGAACCACAAAGGAGATTGTACAAACATCAAATTCAACAACTTTTAAATGAACAATGATGTAATTTTATATGTGTTAAGTTATTTTTATTTATGTAATATATTTTATTGTATTGTAATATAAATCATATTTTGCATTTTTTTAATATTCGTTAACATACTAATGTTAAATTTATAAGAAAATCGAATATAATGTTAAAAATATAATTTACTAAATAAAAAAATTATATCAGTATTAATTAACGGTCAGACTGTTTGTATCTTATTTATAACCAAATCTCATTTAATAAATTGTTCATAATTTTTTTTATAAACATACCTTACAATTTCTTATATTATTCACTGTTACATCAGCAGAAAATATTGATGTTCTACTAACAATTATTAAAAACCAATTTAATATTATAAAAATTATACTCATAACCTCTAATTTTTTTAATAAGAAATCTTACATGAAATTAAGATATCCTTCGATGGTTTAATCAAAAAACGACGACGATAATGGCGGTGATCGATAATTAAGTTTGAATATCCATCAAGCATGTTCGATGAACCCAAAACCAAAAATCTATAGTATCATAATGTGAACCACTATCAAATATATTGTTTCAATTAAATATTGTGACCACCTAACTTTTTACACTATGTGATCACCTGTTTTTTTACACCTTATGAATACAATGTGACACAACAACACTAAGAACAAAAAATCAAAAAGAGAAAAAACACTAAAGATTCCTAAAAGTATTGTGTAAGGACTTTGATACACATTGTGATCACCTTATAAACATAATGACGCTAAAAACAAAAAAAATAAAAATAAAAACAACTAAAATTCCTAAAAGTATTTTCCAATGACTTGGACAGAGTACATTATGAACAATTAATGTTTTATTTGAAAATTTATGATTTTTTTATTTATGGAAGTTATAGATTTCATATTTATAGGGAGAATAAATTAATTAAATACATTTATAAGTTGACTAAATTACCTTTTATATTATTTTAATAATTAACATAATTATATCAAATAAGTGGTTCACATTAAATCTCACAAATTTTTGGGTTCTCATTTCATTAAGTCTCATCGTATCTTTTGTTTTTTTAAAAGCTCTTATTTTACCACTTATGTCTTATTCGGTCAGACATAAGGCAATTCAGACCGTTTGTTTTTCATTTTTTTTCAAAGCTACGTATCCCTTATTTTCCTCTTAAAAATTAAGTGATAACCTAGCCACTTATTTTTCTCTTAATCCTGAAGACTATCCAGAGAACCGATTTCTACTTCATCATTCGATCGACTTCACTGTCTCAATCGATAGACTTCACCCTCCTCATTGTCTCAATCGATCGACTTCGCCCTCCATCGCCTCTGGTGGCTTCAAATCGACCCAAATCAGATCCAAATCAAGAGGGTTTTCTTTCCTGTGGGTTTTCGATATTGTGTGTTTTCATTCCTGTGAAACCAATAGTTGTGCACCTTTATCCTCGTGAATCAAGGTATTTTCGTCCATGTAATTTTCATCACGATGGAGATTTGCTTCGATTTTAAAGGTGGATTTGGGGATTGGATTTTAGAGAAGGAGTGGTGGTGGACGGTGGTTGATGGTGGTGGGATGAGGGTGGAGATTGAAGATGGAAGGCTTGATCTGGAGGAGAAGTAAGAATTAAAGGAATCTTGGGAACATAAAGAGAAGTGAAATCAGAAATTATACATATTCATATGTTTGTTGGTTACAAAAGCAAACTATTGATTCAGACTTCAAACGTTTGTCAGTTTACAAAAACAAACAGTCTAACTGATTTAGATTTCAGACTTCAGCACCACCTCTTAAAAATCAAAAGTGAAATCAAACTTCAGATTTCAGCACCTATTAAAAAATAAATGTCACCTTATACTTAAAGGTAGAAGTTAGCTTAAAGACGAAATCAATAAAGAATTACAAACAATAGAAAATGAAAATCACAATTTCCGATTTTATTAAATAATTTATAAAAGGATAAATTATATATTAGTTATAAAGAAATATAATAATTATTTTTATTTCCAATTTTCCACCTATTATTATTATCATTGATAAATTAGTACAACTATAGGTTATGGTTTGCACGTCACAAGTAGTTGCCATCCACTTCAATTATCGGTCAATACCCTGCTTTATATATACATATACATATGCAACTTATACTACTCGTCTTCATTACATATAGTTAACAAATTTTAATTATTTTGCATAAAAAACGATAGATAAAATACACGATGAAGATGATCTGGTCGATAGTGTTGCTCGTTGTCGTTGTCGGGGTGATGAACGTAGGGGAATGTTGGGAGGAGCCGGTCGGCAATGGTGGTGACGGAGTAATACGTGTTGGCGGCAAAGTGCTTTGTCAGGATTGCACCGAGGGGTGGAATGAATGGGTCGCCGGGCATAAACCTATCAAAGGTACACACATGATTTTATGGATATTTTTTTCTATTTTTTGGATCCTATCTGCTTACGAGACATTAACAGTCTTATTTTAGTCTACACTTGTGATATGAACTGTATTTTTTCATCCAGTATAAGAAAATGTATTTCAATAATCATTATATATAAACATATGTAGCAGTCAATTTAAATAAAGTTTTAAGATATGTATTTTGGCTTTTGTTGTACATATTACACAATTATATATTCAAAATTACTTGTTAAATGGAAACAGAACAGATTAATTAATTGTTTATTGGTTTTATTTTATGCTATTTAGGTTGTACGGTTTCTGTGACATGTATGGACGAAAGAAAGAGGATAGTTTACTATGGAAGGGACGAGACTGATTCAGAAGGCGAGTTTGAGGTCACTATAAACAAATACATCCACGGAAAGCAGATAAAGCCTGAAGCTTGTTTCACAAGGCTCGTTTCTTCACCTGATCCTATTTGCAACATTCCGACTGATTTTGCCGGAGGCAAGACCGGAGTAAAGCTTGGCCGCCCAACCTTGGTGTATCGAGACATGATCAAACATGTCCTTGGCCCGTTCTATTACACCACACCTATGTGTGATGAACCAGATACCAACGTTAATGATAACGATAATGACGATGATAATTCTTACGAGAAAGAAAAAAACTACTGAAGCTCTAGTTTTTTTATTTATTAATTCAACGTTCTCGTTTTTACTAATTATTTTTGTATGGGGAACTTTTATAAACTTCAAGTAAAATCGTATCTTTTTGTTATTGTCGTTCTATAACTTCTAATATATCAGTGATTTAAAGGGAGGTTCACGGGAAAACCGCAAAAAATAAAAAACTAAGAAACAACCTGATAACCATTTATCTGGATGATATGCACCTGTGCATGCATCTAATTGAAGTTGTTTCTTGGTTTTTATACACGTGTGCATGTTATACACATGTGCATACCGGAAACTGTTAATTAATTATTCATTTATTTGTATGAACATGTGCATACGATCCAAACGAACGGTTACTAGGGTGCTACTCAACTTATTATTTTTTTGCGATTTTCCCCTAAAGCAGACACTAGTGATTTATATTGGTGTTTCTGTTTCACCAATATTATATTAAGAGTTTTTAGGAGTTTTACCTGAATACCAATATAGATATTTGTATTTGTATTTGTATTGTGTATCGGGGAGATGCACAAAAAACCCCAAGCCCAAATCCCAACCCAGGCTTGACCCAAAAAAACTCTGGCCTAGTGAGTCCGAAACCTGGTCGAGCCAAGCAAAAATATTGGGGCTAGCCCTGGCCTAAAAAACCCCAACCTAGAAAAGCCCAATTAAGTGCAAAAATATCTGAAAAAGCCTGATCAGGCCTTATTTAACCCTAAGCCCTCCCCATACCATCTCGGTCTAGGTCTAAAAAAAATCGACCCATGTTTTCTCATTGAAAACAGGCTCGGAAGATCCGACCCAGGCCCAAAAAGACCCGGGCCTTGTGCATCTACATTGTCTATCCTCTAGAACAAGTAATTTACTTTGGAACCATCTGAAATGGGTCCAATTTGCTGGGAAAAACACCACGAGCCACACAATATTTTGGAATAGCATCATCTGAACCAAACAGATACTTCTAAAACCAGTTTCAATTCCTCAGCCACCAAAATCATATGGCTGCAAGAACAGCAATACCCTCGTCATCACTGTCTCTCCTGCCAGGAAGAGGCGGAGCCACCACCACCACCAGTGTCGCTTGCCGGAAACCCACCACTCGAGTTGGTGGCAGAAGCATTCTACGGATTTATGCAGCAGAAGGAGGAGGAGAAAGGCAGAGAGCACCACCAGGAGTTGATACCAGAATTCATTGGGAGAACGAGGATGAAGGATGGGTTGGCGGCAGCGGCAGCGGCAACACCACCCGGAAGGTAGAAGAAGAAGAAGAGCAGACAAACAACTTGCTTGGTGAAAAATTCTCTGAATTACTCAACAATTCTACAGATTCTCATTACCAGTTAGTATTCTCCATTCTCTCATCCACACACAAATAGCGACGGAAGTCCAACTATTAGTGACACCTTTAGCTGTCGCGAAGATCTCTGTTAGTATGAATTCGAAACAACTTTCTAAACAACCTGATCCTACGCGACGGACAGGGTGTCGCAAATAGTGACAATGATCTAAAACGGTATTCACAAAGTATTATAGTTGACACTAAAATTACAGACCATAAACGACTTCTATACATTACAACAAAATCGGCATATACTAAAACATTAAATATGATTAAATTTCCAGACTGTTTTATTGGACCAAACAAATATATATGTCTTATGTAAAGGTGTTATAATAAGATGTTCGAGACGTATTTGAGCATTTTAACAAGTCTTTTATGAAACTTCAGATACATAGTTTCCTATTAGTATTTGTTATAGAAATCTTTTATAAAAATGTCCTATGAACAAATCTTTTTGTATGATACTTTTTTTCAAACAATATCATTTAAAAAGACTAATGTGACACTTTATTTCAAAAATGTTCAAAAAGTTAGCTAGGACGGTCAAAAAACGTATTATCAACTTATTGTAACATTTTTACATATAACGGATAATTGTTTGGACTTACAAACCTAAATCCTATAAAACAGTCAATTAGGGTATTTTGACATATTTGACGTCTTATAAAACGGGTTTTGTTCTAGTAATATTTCAATGGGCTTGGCTCATTTCGGCTCTTAAACCTGTCATGCCCGAACCATATATACTATGCTCGAGTTCGGTTCAATTAGTAAAGCGAGCTGCCTCATCAGCTCAGCTTGGCCTAGGCTTGTTAACCTCCTAGACCAAATTTCTTGCAACACCTATACATAGTGACGCTAGAGGCCGTCGCAAATAGTAAATCTTTATTGTTATTTTTTGGAAAAATAGAACACTAGAACGGTAGACATTACTAAGCCAGCCCTTCAACTCAACAATGGCAGGTTCTTAGGGGTGCCAGCTGAAGCCGACTTGGAAGAGATCAAGGCGGCTTACCGGCGACTATCAAAAGAATACCATCCCGACACCACCTCTCTCCCACTCAAGGCAGCCTCCGAAATGTTTATGAAACTAAGAGAAGTTTACGACGTGTTGAGCAACTCGGAGAAGCGAAGGTTTTACGATTGGACCTTGGCTCAGGAAGCCGCGAGCCGTGAAGCCGAGAAAATGAGGGTGAGGTTGGAAGACCCGTACATGAAAGACATAGAAAATTGGGAGTCGGTCCCAGACATGGTTGACCGGCTTGGAGGAAGGAACATGGAGCTGAGTGACCAAGCCAAGTCGGCTCTTACTTTTGATATTTTCATAATTATTTTCTCAATTTGTTGCATCATTTATGTGGTTGTGTTCAAGGAGCCTTATTACTAGCCATTCTCTACACAAAAACGAATAGTTGACTTTGTAAAGTCAAACATAGTAATTTTTATAGTTCGAAAAAAATCGATATATACATCACAAAGTTTAAAGCAACATTTCGTGTTTGTCGCCAAGCAAGCGTAATATCGTCTTTTATATAACTTGAAAGAAAAAATATCTCGGAATGCATCTTGATTCGTAAGTTGGAAATTTGTTGATTTCGACCTTTGGGATCAGTAAAAGTTGAGATTCGATGGAATATATGTATCATATGGTTTCCGTACCTTATTTATGAACGTAATTGCAAAACACAAACACACACAAAAGGAACATGTAGGGTAGCAAATTATGAACGGGAATGGTAACATAGACAGGTTGGAGCAGATGGAGGGTCAGACAGGGGAAGAGGTAGTGCGTTAGGTTATCAAAGTCTTACGTTTTACATAGGGTTGTCTTGGCATTTCTTACTTTTCATCAGTGATTGTTGATACTGCATTTTGTGTTTCCTTAATTGTTTTAACCTATTTTCCACACATTTGTCGATGTTATCTAGTATCTTACTATAACCGATGCTTATTTCCAACAATTATATTGTTTCTTTAATTGTTTGTTTTATAAGTCCAAAGTATTTATGAAAACAGCTTTTCCTATCCCTATACCTTATTTTTGCACATGATCTACTGGGTTCTTTTGTTTTTATTATACTGTTTGGCATAGAGATGGCCAAATGGGCCCGGCGGAGGACCGGGACCAGGACCCGCAATCTAGGACCGATTATGACATTCCACCAAAAATAAGGCACGGCTCGGGACCAGGACCGGTTAAGGGCCTGACCCGATTTTTTATTTAAAATTTATTTTTAAGTGTATTTGATTGGAGACCAAAATGTATTTTTAAGTGTATTATGATAAAAACGTATTTTTTTAGTGTATTCAGTTGACCCAGTTAAATATTCTAAAATATATTTGATGGACCAAATTCTTTATAACAAAAACATGTTTTTGATTCACCCAATTATAATAAAAACGTATTTGTTGGTGTATTTAATTGACCAAATTCTTCAAAAAATATTTTTTATATGTTAAAAATTAATTTAAATAAAAAAAATTAAGTGAGACCGATTTGGGTACGGCCTGAGACCGGTTCTCATAACCTGGCCTCATACATCTTAACCGGGCCTTTCCTCTTTGACCGGTCCAGATTGTCACTGTTTATGCCCAGGACCGGTTTTTGGCCATGTCCAGCACTCCAGCTTGGCATAACAAACTAGAAAGGCACAAAAAAGCCCAAGTCAAAGCCCAGCCCAAAAAACCCAGGCCTAGTGAGCACAAAGCCTGGTACGAGTTAGGCCTTAAAACCCGATCAGGCTGAAATTTTGGTGCAAGGCAAAGCCTAGGTCCGATCCGAAAAAGCATGTTCGAAAAGGCGTTATAAAATACCAGTTAAGCCTGAAAAAAGCCAGATTAACCCCAGCCTAAAAAACCCCGACCGCGCCCTCTTTCAAACCCAAACCTAGCCTTTTTCTTTACTTACTGAAAACAGGTTTGAAAGGCCCACGCCTTGTGCATCTCTATTAACAAACAGACCTAATTGTGAACCTTTGTATACCAAACCACAGTTCTTTGATGAGCAGGTTGATGATTGATTTTCAGTCCATCAGCTGCAAAAAGTTAACCATTGATAGCACAAAGATGGTATAGCTATATAGCTTAAGGTAATATGCTATATATATACAGAAATCATGAAACAGTTGCAAGTTCTGATAAGTATGGCAGACAGAAAAGAAGTATGAAGTATCCCTTTGGAGAATTCCTGAAAACATACATGACTTCTTAACCAGCCAAAGACATGTTGGTTGCTAGACGGGTAAGGGCGCGTTTATGGTACGAATTTCGCAGCCTCTTGTACTTTTGCACGAAAGCAGTCAGATCAATTTCTCGATCGAGAAGCTGTTGGTGGAGAGCTTCTGATTCCTCTTCCGTGTTATGCATTGCCTCTGCAAACGATCATAACCATTATAACTAAAACCAAATAAACCGGGTTAATATAGGTAGGGTCTGGGGTAGAATGTCTGCAGACTTTTCCTTTTACCCCAAAGGGGTAGGGAGGTTGTTTTCCGGCTTGTAAAACCAAAAATAGAAGAAACAAAGAGAGCAAACTATAGGTGAAAATTTGTGCAATCAAGCAACGGGTAAAAAAACAAACAAACAAACAAAGGAACAAAAAGCACAATACTAACGAACTAATAGTACAAGAAGAAAAGCTAAGACTAGTATACAATAGAGAAGAGAAATCGACTGAAAACTATAAAAAAGTTGAAAACATGAAAACAGGCTTCAACCGTTAGATGGATTTGATTCAAGAGATGTGATTAATTTAAAAACTTCATTTTTAAAACTAAAAAGATTATCCCCCTTAATAAAAGAGAGACTAAATATAATCAAAATTGGAGTTAAACAAATTATACCAAAAAACGAGTATTTTATTCTCTTTAATTTGATATCCACATTGTTATATTTTTTTCACCCGTTTTTTTCATGTTTTCAACTTTTTTACTGTTTTCATTTGAACCCTTCCCTAGTTGGTACGGTGCCTAAAATGTATGTGTGTAAACCTTGTACTATTGAGTACATTTTTTGTCTACTATTACAGTCATCTATTTGACCATCGTAGCTCATGTTTCAATATCTTTTACCTGCTCCAACTTTCTGACCATAAAGAGGGATTTCCTGACATATCAGCCCTTAATCAGCATTTAATATAACATATTTTTTACCAAGGGAAAACTGGACAAGTTTTTCTTTTGGGGGATTGAAAGGAAGACCAGTGGGAAACAATGGTCGGAACATTCTGGTGGCCGAACGATATTTTATGGTACAGTGGCCAAACCTGTACTTTTCAATCTAAAACAGGTGCTTCTAGACACAATTTCCCTTAACAAGGGCCAACAGAACATCATTTTAATAGCGGGAAACTGGTTAAGTCGTTTTCTTTTTGGCCCGGAATTAAGACTAATGGGTGAAAATGGTTGGAGCTTGTGGCATGGTGGCCAAACCAACAACTACATATCTCACTTGAGGTGGGGTCTGGGGAGGGATGTAAGCAGACCTGACCCGAAGAATAGACTTATAGAGCAGCTGTTTATGTGAAGACCCCAGACTTGTGAAAAGTGTAACAAAGAGAGAAAGACGGATATGATAAAGATTTGAAAAACTGGTTAAGATAAAGCAATAACACAGAACTACATAGTACAATGGCCAATAATTAAGTTTTCGTTATTGTATTATAAAGATTATAGCCTGCCAATCCTGCTTTGGGCCAAAAAGAAAAAGTGAACTAGACTAGTTTCACCGTGCTAAAACAATTTTATGCAAATGCTCATTAATGGGCAAATATGTCAAGAAAAGCTGGTTTTAAAAGAGAAAACCAAACCAAACCACACCAAACGACCCAGTATATCCGAACCGAGGTGGGGTAGATGTCTGCAGATCTGACCTCTACCCCAAAGGGTAGAGGAGGTGGTTCCGTGAAAATACCCCAAGTTGTGAAAAGTATGACAAAGAGAGAAAGTCGGCTAATAAAAATTTTAAAAGCAGGTTAAGAGTAGGCTGGAAAAGAAGACTAGTGGGCAAAAGATGATTGAAATATGAAGTACAGCGGCCAAGTGAATCCTTTTGAAAAAGAGAATTTACCTTGCAGACGATGAAGCAAGGATGCAGGAGAGTAAAATCTGAGGATTTCTTGTTTCTGCTTTTCGAGCTCATGGAGCTTCTCTCTTGCAGCAGCCAGTTCAGTGGCCCGTATTATTTGGCACTATATCGGAAAAACGGAAAAGAGGATTTCTATAAGGATCACCACCCTTTCAAGTGTTCAAGTTCCCAGAGCCAATTGGTACAAGGCAGATGAAGTACTTACCTGGTTTCGCAGCTCCCTGATGTGTGGTTCTTTTTCCAAGTTGTGTTCTGCATAAAAGAACCATTATGTCAACAAATGATGTTGACTTACTGTTCTATAATTTCAAAGGTGTGATCATTGCTCAGTATTTATACACAAAGGAAAAAACAAACAGACTATGGAAGACTCACTTGCAAGCTGCATAGTTTCATCTCGCAGTTCATCTCTCAGCTGATATCAAGAACAGAAAGAAGGTATGGGGGTAAATGTTAGAATTGATATCCATAGCTTCAAACAGCTTAGTTTTTAAATGCATAAAGACATACTTGTTTTGTTTCATGAGAATTGTGGCATTTGACTTGGCAAAAAGTTCATTGAGAAAGTTTGACTATTTGTTGAATATCTAAATACCCTCAACAAAGGCAATAAAAAACTGGTCTGCCAAAGTCAATACCATAAACTTGTTTGTAATAATGATAATGCTACTGCTTTATTTTCAAGGGAGCAAATGTTGCAATTTTCAAGGGACGGAGGGAGAACATACATAGCTCATGTAAATCTTCAACATGTGACGACATTATTAGCACAATCCTCTAACCAACTGAGCTAATACGTCAATTTGCTTTATTTTTGTGTTTCTGTTTCATTAATTTTCTTTCATTTGCTGGCTCTAGAAACTGCTTTGCTGACTTCTTTTTAATACATTAGGTGTGACTGAAACATACAAAATGAATTAACCTTATATAGCAGAGCATGGAAGGACATCATCCATGTCCCAGAACCCTAGGGGAGTTATTCAGTTAATGTTTTCAAATTGGGATTTCACTGCTCAAAATATTCTTTCGGTTGAAGGTTACATGACGCATAATTATTCATAAAAGTAAATGGAAGCCACAGTTCGTATCGAACAAACGTCAATTCCAATCACAACTATTTTTCCCGATTGTCTTTTGGTGTTCTCTTTGGTACCACAGGGGAGAAAGACGTTATGAAAATGTGTAAGCAGACAACAAAATAGCATGAAATTGTATAATAACTTACACGAATCTGAGTTTGGACCATGTCAAGAGAAAGTAAAAATTGTTGATATGCATCTTTGTTGGACAAAAGCTTCTGCAACTCACTAGCACTATAAGAAATTGACAGGCAGAAAAAGGGATTGGGTCAAAATAAAAACATATCATTATTTATGAGATTTAATCAAAGTAAGAAAGCTGATCAGAATCCATGAAATTTGTAAAATCAAACCTCCTATACGTTAAATAAATATAACAAACACGGGTGGCTTTTGGGAAACTACTTGTACTCATTTTGAGCACCATGGAACCAGTATAGTAGAATAGTGTACAAGATTGGCAAGCAAGTTAGACAAGGAGAGTTGGCTCCATAGGTACACGACAATGTACTTGCTATAAATGAAACAAAATTTCCTTCTCAGCTGATGCAAGGGGTTTCAGAGTTGTAGGCATGTTACTTCTCTTCTCTGTTTCTTATACCAATTGTTGAAGGCTGAAGCATATTATCTGAATCTTATTGACTTCTCACCAAGCGCGTACAAATCGCAGTTGTTTGAGAGGCTGCTCTCTTCCAGAGGCTAGGCCTGTTACGGCAAGAAACTTCTCACATCCTCACCTACCCACCTCCCTATTTATAGTTGACATCCCACTGTAAGAACACCAACCCGCTCCCTTCTAACCAACTCTGCTACTCCTCTAACTACTAAACAACTCTCTAATGAAAAGTATAAAAGTGCCCTCATGACTTATTATATATCTGCCCCCTACTTACTATTTCCTCCTTCTACTATACATGTGCTTAATCTCTGGCCTAACAATAGTAGCTGCATGAAATCTTCGTACTCAGTGTCCCTCTCAAATATAAATAGGCCACACGTCCCTTGTCTAGGGAGTCAGTCTCACCCAACATGCCAAATCTTCAACTGGTTTTATATGCATAGGATTTACCCATCCTCCCAAGCGGATACATAGTCCTTCATGAGTTTTTACTTGCCAAGGGCACAATTTACAAACTGCCTACAGGCCAAGGGTTGATGGTTGCAAGAGAAAGACTCCTATGTGAACCTTGTGGTTTTGTAGGCCAATTTATTCAAGCAACTTTTCGCATTTTCCATATAAATTTGGAACTCCCTCGAATTAAATACAGTTGTACACTGGATGGGTAGATTTATTTGACCTCTGTTCTCCCGTCTATGCTCATCTTCTAGATGGGTAGACACCATATTACCAATGAGTTTATATGGCTTTTGCCTATCAGGTGGAAGGTCTGATAACCTAGTTTTCCCGAGGTGCTTGTTACTTGAGCAGATAGAAACAGTCTAACACAGAATTGCATTGTGCACACAAGCACCATGGCTCATGAACTCAAGGTGTTCAAGCAACCTATACCAGTTTCAAACAAGATGGCCACTATCACAAATCAGATGTGTTACGTAGCTAAGCTTGTCAGCATCCAACCATCCCAATCAAATTATTGATTCATGATGCAACAAAAGATGTCCATTCATGTGAAAATGTAAAACCTGAAGCTCTACAAATATTATACATGCGAGTTTTTCTTTGCATCATGCCAAGCCAGTAGTTGCATAGTTTACATATATAAAGATAAGTGCTAATCATACCAATCATTTCCAAAATTAACCAGGTTTGGGAAGCCATCAATTGTTTAAGTAACTATGTAAGGTATGTCAACAGATTTAAGAAGACTAGCAAACCTTTTATCTTTTAAGACGACGACAATCCCAGCAGCCTCACCAGGTGGAATGCGGGATACAGGTCTATCTCCATATGCCTGCGCGTGAACCTGTTCTTCAGAACCCCTAGAGGGAACGAGAGTTCAAAAAAGTGAAAAAAGGAAAAAGATTGTATCTTCAACTGGAACATGCACATAAATACAATTCCGCCATTACATATGATTGTATCAACATATGAACATCCTATTATAACTACCAAGCAAGAGGTTCATAGGAAGACATATGGTCCCATGGATACCAACTCTAGTGCTCAGCTCAGAGACAGTCCCCCAATGACCCCTAAGGTTTAAAATTCAAATGGTTATAAGCAAACGATTTACAATTGAGCATCATCTTTCAGCAATGATATTAACTCTTCTAGAAAACAACAGGCACCAGGTTTACAACTATAGGTATAATTCAGTAGTAGGAACATGAAAACTCATTGGTTTTCCAATCTGCGCTTGTTTTGACTTTTCAAAGCCATATCCCACATCATACAAGACGGGCAATTTACTGGTTCATCATGAATTCGGAGTATCATATTGGGCACCTTTAGGATCAAGTTCATACAAAAGATGATGAAAGAGATTTGCCATTCGATAAACTATGCAAAAATATATTGCAATAGATTGTTTTGGTCCTTTTGGAGTTACAATGCTGAAAACATTGACATCGATTTAGAATGAAGAAAGTGCTAGGTTAGAATCTATAAACCAAAAGCTCCCCCCATCCCCAACAATACAGAACAAAATAGTCTCTGTTTACCAACCTTCCAGTGAGAAAACAAATGTCAGATCAATGACACTAGCCAGTGTGTTTTTGCATATATATCATATTTGATAGCGAATAATATTCTCTGAAGTTTAAAGGAAATACTAACTGAGCAACTGCAGAAAGATCTAAAAAATGGACAATCATTCATGGTAGCGATTGAAATAGCTCGAGTTATTAGAACTCCCCCACTTCACTTGCAGTACCAACCCATATTACCACATTAAGTAGAAGCACAACAAACAAAAATCAGAAGACTCGACCAAGGATAGAACTCACTTAGTAAAGGTGAAAACCCACTTCAATTTTGAAAAATGGAACTTATCTGACCTGTAATAATGTGTTAAGAATATTGCATACATCTACTTATGATACCCCTCTTCATATTTGACCTTACTGTCAACCAAGTTAATTTTTGAGGTTAACATTGGGAAAAAAAATGCCTCCATTCATCCTAAAAATTGATGACTATGATATACTACAAAAATAATTAGTCAAATAAAAACACTATGGAGTTGCAAGACATACCAATTTTGCATTTGAAAAAAGAAAAGCTACGATTTTGGATTCAAAAGGGACTCCTCTTCAGTTGGGAGTAATCGTTTTGTAAAATTCAACGTTGAGGAAACTGTTCAGATAATTTTGCGTCTTCCAATCCACATATTCTTGATCGGAGTACTACATCGACTCCGAAAACAACTTCAAGTTCTCTACAAGTCCGTTAATTTCTTCTTTTTTTCGCCTCTTATGAAGAACTTTGCTTTGTGCGTATACATCAATCAAAACTAGCAGTTATCGTTTGAAATCAAGTTGGTCAAAACTCGAATAAAAGACCAATCCCTACCGAAGAGCTTCCACAAACGTTACAAGTAATTCAAACAATCAGATAAATCAAACCCTATAATCGAAAAAAAAATGAACGTAAGAAGATTACCAGAAGGGTTTGAACATGATTATAATCGAAACCGGCTGATAGATTTAAGAATCCAAGATCACAAATACAAGTAGTTCAATTTTCTGATTCTTCGATCATTCCAACAACAAAATCATGAAGCACTAAGAGTTTGCCCGCCGTATGATTTTATGTCTTGCTTGCTCATGTAGAGAAGGAGAAAACAATTCCCACTTATGGGTCCCATTTGAAAAAATACAACAACTCTAAATTTATTTATAGCCCACTTAGAGGCGCGTGACAAAGACGAAACCCTGTTATGGTAAGTGAAGATTACGATTCTTATTCGGTAAGTGTTTACTGGTATTATTGTATATAACACTGTCTTGATGAAATGCAATATTACCTGGTAAAGTAAATTAGAGTGTTTGACTCTTACCAATAAACACTTATCAGATAAATTGTTGCATACGATACAGCTTTGATGAACTATAATATTATCATGTAAAGTAAGTTAGAGTGTTGACTTTTTAACGGTAGCATTTACCGAATAAGTAGTTGCATATGATACTATTTTGATGGACTTACCCAGTAAAATAAGTTAGAGTATTAACTCTTACCAGTAAACACTTATTGACTAAGGAGTCGTTTACCAAACATTTACCCGGTAAACGATTACCAGTAAAATTTAACACTATCACTTATTTACTGGATAAGATTTTAGTTCATCAAAACGGCATTGTATATAACAATATAGTCGGTAAGCGTTAACCATGGTAAGAGTCGTCGCTCTCACTTATCGGATAAGACTTTTGGTTCTTAACATATTCATCTGGTAAGATAACATGACTTAGTAAGTACTTACCCGGATAAATATTTAATAAACGACCCTTAAACATTTAGACACATTTAGATGAACGGTCCCTTAGACCAGAAAAATAAAGCAATGAACAAAGAAAGCGAAGGTAAGGCCGTAAGGCTGCCCTTGTATTAGAAGAAAAAAAAGTTTTAAATTTAAAATCATTTTTTAAAATACATTTTTGAAAAAGAAGTTTATTTAAATTTATATAATACTTTAAAATATTATTTATTATTCATTATACTTATAGTTTCATTGGAAAATACAGTTAAAACTTGTTTATGTCATCATCTTTTGTTGTAAGTCATGTTAATTTTTAATAAGGTTTTTATATTTAATTACGATTTTAGTATACATGAACTTTGTTGATGTGATGGAACTAGAGGTGTTTATGGGTTGGGTTGATCGGGTTGATGACATTTAAATAACCTAACCCAATGCTTGTGATTTAAAAAATCTTAACCCAACCCGTACGGGTTGGTCGGGTTGATACTTTGATATATTAAAATATTCTTCTAATCTTGAATATGTTATTTCTCTACTCATAATTTTTTTTTAAATCATCAACCATTTGATATAACTTATCTATATTTCTTACTTATATCTCATTCAGTCAATTTTCTCTATTTACATATATATGTTTCAGTTACTGAACATATATATGAATGAGTATATAGAGATATGTATAGATTGAAAATATGTGTATATGAAAATCATACATGATAGTGTAATTGTCTAATGTATATATTAATAGAAATTAAACAATCATATTAAATCAAATAAATAAAAGGATATCGGGTTCATCGGGTTGAGTTGGGTTCAAATAATTGTAACCCAATATCTACGGTTTGACAATTTTACAACTCGATTAGACATCGGGTTGCTTCGGGTTAAGTTATTTCACGTTGGGTTGGGTTGGGTTGGTCGGGTTTTTGAACATCCCTAGATGGAACACATATCAAATAATATTCCTTAAAAAAATCAACTGATTTAAAGATTGAACTAATCGAACAATTGTTCTCCCATAAAATACAATTGAACAAATATATATTTAATGTATTTTGTTTCAAACAGATCTATAATATTAGTCGATTCGCATAACGGTTTAAACATCCAAGTTAATAAAAAAAACATGGATAAATAACCAAATTAATTCATCATAACATTTTAAAGCAAAATGCAGGTGATAAATTCTCAGATATACATATTTTCTATATATAATTATTATTGATTTTCTTAAAGTTAATGATAATATTAATGGTTCTAAAATATTTATTTTGTTTTTGAATTTTATTTGCCAAAACTACAATTTTTATAGTTCTAATACTAATAATTTAATATTTTATAATACCATTCACTTTCCTTATCGGATAACAGTATTGTTGGTCATCAAAATGAATTGTTGGTAGGTATTTTTTAGCTTATAAGTGTTTCTTTATCGTATTTGCTAGCCTTGTATCAGATAAAATTCTTGGTCGTTGTAAGTGCTCACGTCATGTTTTTGTAGGGTATGAAAAGAAAGATGCTTTTGCTAAGGTAGATAATGAACACGTTATAGATAAGTTACAGAAAACGAAATCTCGAGGTCACCGTTAAATCCGTATAGATACGTCATACGTGTCATGAATATAATAACGTTGTTTTTACCATTTTTGGAAAATTAATATTTGTTTTTATTTTATTTATACTTGTTGGTCCCCCTAGACCCAAATCCTGACTCCACCACTCCCTCTTGTGTTAAACTGTAAAATTTGTAAAAAAGAACACTAGAAAATTAGTTTGTAAATAGGTCCAAAGAAGGCATCTTACACTTTGAATTAAAATATGTAAATTACCATGAACTATATCCATCATGAATAAGCATCTTCTCTTCAAGATGGACTATATTTATACATTCTATTCTTCAAAACGTACAAAAATAGAACGAAAAACCATTAATGATTCTCGAAACAATATCGTTTTATTTCTTTCTGGTGGCAACATGTTGTTGTCGACGTGCATGGGCTCATATTCATACCACCCCGTGCCGTGAACATTATTTTTAGTGTATTTAAGAGTACGGATATGAACTATTAATCTTTGATTGAATGAATAGCGTATACTTATCATGGGTTGTCGATGAACTGGAATCGTTTCCTTGTGGTGGTGTTGGTTTTTAACTGCATTACAAGATCTTCTCGTTCGGCCTCTACTTCTGCATACTTGAGGCTCATTTCAAGGTAACGGTCACGAAGGTCTTTTAGCTCTGTCTCCAATGATGACTTTGTCCTTTCGAACCTTTCTTTCGTTACTACTTCACCTTCACCCTTTGATTTCCCAGGAGTTGATGAAAGACTATTACGCCCCTCGGACTTTAGCCTGGAGAGATATGTTGACCAATTAAGAGTTTATGCAAAAGGGTTTCTAACTGGCAACCCCCGAGCTGGCCGACATTGCCTCTCCCCACCCCACTCTAAGAAGAAGCAAATCAGGTATACAACGGCCCACTAGGTGGTTGGCTTAAGAGTCCAGTGCGCACAAAGAGCCTAATCCCCTAAGGAATTGTAACTCTGACACTGCGACTGCCACGACTAACAATTGTGCACACTAGTGATGCTTTTACCTTTTAACTCAAGATGTTTGCCTTTGTAATACCCCTCCGTCCCAAAATAAATGTCCACAATGAAAATTGTGCAGAGTTCAAAAAATGTGTAATACACTTTTTATTAACTAAATGACAATTTTACCCTTAACAATATAACGGTAGAAGTGAAAAAGTAAGTATTTACTTTCGAAAGTGGACACATATTTTTTGACAAAGAGTATCCTTTACTAGAATTGTGACAACTCACATTGATGTTTACTCACCTCTGAAGCTGGACTCTGTACTTGTTATTTGCATCAAGAGCCTCATCAAGCTCAGCTTCCAGCATCTCTATCTTTGTTGCATAATCAGTATCTTCTTGAGAATAAGTTTCCTGAACACCCTGGTACAGAAGATAGAAAATAATATTGATATTACAGATTCCAGCTAAAAGGCTATATTTCTTTCAAGAATTTAATTGGTTGTTAAGTAAATTAACATTAAATTTGGTACAAAAAACTTAATAATATACAATGGAGAATAAATAGAGAACAAAACTAACCATTTTACTGCCTGATTTGGTTTGATCTTTTTTGGCTGACAGCAGTTTCAGATCTTCCTCCAGAGCATGGACTTTCTTCAAGCATTCGTTTTTTTCGCCTTCAAGTTGTTGGATTTTCAGCTGATATTGCAAATTTCCACTCTTGATCCTACTAAGCTCGTTTTTCATCTCAGCGTCCTGCGAACATGATGCTCCTTTAGCCGTTAGATCACCATCCAATCTCAGTAGCTTTTCTTGTAATGCATTTCTCTGATGTTTACAATCCTCATACTCAGAAACAGATGCTTCCAAGATAGACATCTTTTCAGTTAAAGACATCTTCTCAGCTTTAAGCTCTTCCAAGCTACTAGAAACAGAAAGGAGAGAAGCTTCAAGATTACTCTTTTCGTACTTTACTTTATCAAGATTTCTCTTTTGATCTAATACTTCATTTTCAAGCTTTGAAGTTTTCTGCAGCTTATCTTTCAACTTTGCAGATTCTTCAATGAGCTGTTGGCGATCGTATTCTGAAACTGTAAGTTTAAGTTCGAGATCGTTCTCCATTGTCTTTCTCCGCTCTTCTCTGGCTCTATAACCAGCCAAAAACTTTGACTTCCTATCGTGATCTGCCGTCAGTTTCTTATGGCTTTGTTTAATGGCATCAAGCTCAGTTGTTAGTTCTTGAATCTTCGATTCAGATTCCTCACGAACAAATTGAAGCTGGTTTTCAATAAATTCTGCTCTTGAATGAACTTCTTTGAGAGAATAGTCCAACTTGGATTTTTCAGAAGTTAAACTTGAGATTTCTTCTAAGGCTTCAGATGCCACCTTTGCCTTTTGTTCTTGAAGCCGAAAAATTTCCTCTTTGAGATGTTCTACTTCACTTTGGAAGTTCTCAATCTCGGCCGTCTTCTCCAAGTACATTTGATTCAACAAACTTTCTTCCATTGTAACTTTCTCCTTTAACTGCCAGTTTTCTTGATTAAGTTCATCCAAGTGTGAAGAAAGACTCTTCTCTTTGAACATGTATTCCTCCAGCATAGAAGAATATTTTTCTTCCAATTCCTCTACCCTTTCAGAAGAAATTACCAGATTCTCCCGAGCTCCCATCAATTCGATCTCCAAACGTGAACATTGCTCATACAGCTCCGCCTTTCCCTTTGTCATCTCTTCATATGACTTCTGAAGAGAATTGCATTCCTCAATGAGATTCTCCGCAGAGTCTTGCAATTTCTGCTTTTCAGCTTTCACATATTCACACTCCTCTTGAACATCCAATAGTAACTTCTCCACATCCTGCAACTTTTCGACTTCATTCTGAAGATCAGCTATCGCAGATTCAGATTTCTCCAACTCCAATTGTGCGACGCCATGCTCGTCTTTCACAAGCCTCAGTTGACTCTCCAATGCAGACACCTGTTCAAGTAGTTTGACATTCTCTTCTTCCACCTCAAACAACCGAAGCTCCACTTCACGCTTAATTTTTTCCAGCTCCAGTGCTTTCCGTTCTAGTAGCTTATTGGCAGAGACTTGTGAATCGACACTGCTGCTAAGCACCATCAGATCGTTCCTTAAATTATCCAAGCATTTAGAGGTTATGTTGCTCTCTTTCAATGCAACTTCCATGTTTTCTTGTAGCTCTTCTTTCTCCTTTTCAAGATCAGAAATTTGAGCTTCTTGTTCCACATTCAAACTCTCTAGCTCTCGAATTTTCAAACTGTAATCTTTCAGTTGCTTTTGACCTTCTTCAATAGCCTCATTTCTCACTTGGATCACTTTCTTCGACTCTTTGAACTCAAAAAGGAGATCCAAGTTTTCATTTGTTAGCTCACTACATTCCTTTTCTACCTCACTAACTTTTTGTTTCAGCCCTTGGATTTCTTGCATTTGTTCCGCTTCGCTTTCTTTGTTTTCTGAGATACAATTTGATAATTTCAATTCCAAGCTGTTAATTTCTTCTTCTTTGACAGATAAGGAACTCTTGTATTCTTTCTCAAGTACTGACATTGAATGGCTATTTGAAGTTCTCGCGTTCTCCAAATCACTGATTTTGTTTTCCAAGGCTTGTTCAAGAATCTGCAAGTTTGCATGTAAAGTCTTCTCTGATTCCTCCATCTGTTGTAACTTCAGTTGTAAGCTTCTGGTTTCAACCAAATTGCCATTGAAAGACTTTTCTAATTCGCTAAACTTTGACTTAACCTCCAGAAGTTCTTCGATTTCTGCTCTCTGTGTTTCCGTGGCTTCCTCCAGTTCCTGAAGAATACCCACAAGCTCGATGTTTGATTCCTGATTCCTCTTTAGCTGTTGAGATAAATCAACATTTGCTTCTTTATGAGCTTTTAGCTCATTTTCAAGTTCCCTTAGAAGTTGACTTCCACCTTTGGAGTTATATGTTGACTCCACTGTGGCCTTCTGTTTGACAACCGTTTCCTCCAGCAACATCTTCAGTTGATCAACTTCTTTCTTCATACCATCACACTCCGTCTGTGCTGCTGAAAGCTCCATTTGAGCATCCGACAGATTCTTGGACTGATCAGAGAATCTCTCTTTCAAGATCTCCAAATCAAGCATTAACTTCTGTGAATTCCTCTCCCACATTTTGGCTTCATCACGGAGCTCTTCGATGGTGTCCTCAGCCGCTTCTAGAAGGTTCTTTGAAGAACCAGTCTTCGTCACAGATGATGTGGGAAGAACAGCCGGGGGGCTTTCCTCGTACTCTTGTTCTTGGTCATCATGGGTTATCCTTGATTTGAAAGATGAGTTGTTTGAGTTTGATATGGAAAGATCTTCTTCGATGGGGTAATTGCTTCGTGGTGAACTATTTCTGGAGCTAGCATTAAGATTATGCTTGATTCCATTTATATGATTTTTTCGATAGAATCTCTCCTCTATAGAATATTCAGCTGAATCGTCGTTTTGATTAAAACCAGATGGTTCGTAACTTGTTTCCTGCATTTAGGGAAACAAGAAAATGGAACCACATTTACAATCTTTAGAGGATCTAAAGAAGCCTCTAGGTTATTAAGCTGCAAATATCTTAACAGATCATAGAATTCAAAATTAATCTTTACTTCTGGGGTCAAAGTCAACAATCTTATTTTCAGGTTCAAACTGATATGGATCATTTCACAAATTAAGCACCAAAAATGTTAAATTTGTATTATTTTTAACAAAATTCTAGGCAGTTATGTAATGTTTCTTTAACAACTGAAGTAAGCATATCGATTTCTGAGTTCAAATTAATCTTATTGACCAAGAAAGTCAAAGTTTGGAGAATCTATATCATTGTAACATACCATGATTTTAATCCTTCCAAGAAGTGAAGTGGGAGCCAAATCTTGACTTGAAGGGGATTTAACAGTCAGATTAACAGAGGCAGCTGACCCATTTGATCTGCTACTCCCATCATCATAATCTTCGTCCAAGGCTTCTGCATTGGAGCCCGAGTATTTCGGTCCTTCAACCCTTTGATATGCACTGACAACTGTCAACATCAAGTGGAACACGGAAATATCATACACAAGCAACACAATTTGTCATATGCAGGTACCTGAGTTTTGTTCTTGGTGTTAAGCACTGGATTTTGACCTGAAATGAGAGCATAAGTCTATAAGGAACACTCATACTGTCATACATCAGATAGTTATTTTTTGATCCATGCTATTCTGACAGGTTTGAGAATGTTGCTGATTAACAAAAGAATGCCACTTTCATACACAAAAATTTCTAGAAACTTGTGAGAAGGTCATGGATTTAAAAAAAACAATAATGAGTTGATCATTTAGCTAAATAACCCTTCATAAGACATACCAAGTGTCATTTGATCTAAATGGTATTGGTGGATCTTTACAAACCTTAGGTTGTGAATTTTGACTTCTCGATAAGACAATTGCATCCATACATGCTCTATGAAAAGAGCATGATTTTATGTAATATCTTATTGGATTATGTTGATACCAATTATTGTTATAATTTTCACATTGGTTCAGACACGATTTACCTGTAAAATTGTGCCATAGTTGCATTTCTTCAACGGCAATGAAACTTGGGCAGATGATCTTGAACTTGTATAGTATCGTGCAATATTGATGGTTGCTTCCCCAAGAATGCCAGATCTAGCAGACCCCTAGAACAAAATAAAGATTCTTTTACAACCCCGAAGTTTAAAGCCACACAATCGATTGGAAGATTATGGTCAGATGATAAAGTTTGAAATTTTAAGGATCAAGATCATTTGTACCATAGAAACAACGAATTTGAAGAGATGTTCTTCAAGCTCTTTTGAAGAATCATCATTTGAAATCCAGATAGATTCGGATAGAGTTTCTGTCCATTGACAGTTCCCATTTCGCACCATAGCTTTGTTTGATCTTGCAATTGTTTTTCCTGTTTCCACAGAGATGATTGACACTAAAAGCTTGTCCCATACTTTCGGTACCTAGGACAATAAAATCCCAACCAAAAATGGTAATTAATCACCATGGATACAATATGATCAAAAACCAAGTTCTTAGCAAGACAAGTTTTGAACTCGTATAAATCATAGAAACATCAAATAATACAAGAAATCATCAAACATCATAGCAACATGAAGTCATTCTCTTAGATTGCGACTAATACTACAATAAATCATCAAACATTATGCAGTTTCAGAAAAGTTCTCAGATTGACTTTGAAGCTCTTAATGGTGTTACGCCTACCGATTCACAAATCCTTCTCAGTAATTTTATCAAGCACTTGAAGTGTATCATGTTGGTTCTTAAAACATTTTAGAACAACTACACAAAACCAGCCATTTTTATCAAAAATTAAGATGAATCTACCACAAACACTACCATAAAAACTGTAACAAGTATCGCAAATAAATTCATTAATCTTGAAGATTAAAAAAAGACAATTCAGAAAGATTGATTGATGGGTTATCGTTGTTCACCTGAAGAGCTTGAAATTTTGAGAACTTAAAATCAATCCTCTCGCCCGAAGTGGGAGACTTCCCATTTCTTTGTGCTCTATACATCCTTATCTAGCGGCAAGCTCCACCAATTAATGGTGTCCTAAACGATTGTAAATTCCAGTAGTATCACTACCAACAAACCCATTTTCAGCTTTAAGAAACAGAATACATTTTCAGTTCTTGTCGTTGGGTATCAAATGATTGATCACAATGCAGTGATATTAACAAGGCAAATCCAGAGAGAGAAAGTGATGTTAGCTAGGTGGCCATTGTTCTCGTGGTTGTTTTTTGATCTCCTCTGCTTTTTTACTCCATTTTCAACACAGAAGAGATCAGAGATGGTCCTTGGGGGTGCTGGGGAAACGTAAAATAGCCGGCCGAGTTAGAAACAACAAATCCGACCCTTGTATTTTAGTAATTTGACATCTTTTCCCCTTTAACTTTTTCTAGATTGACTAATAAATTGATCTTGATTTTTTCCCATTTAAAGAGTAGTTACTCTTCTTTCACAAATGTATTTATACAGATTATATGATATTTTATTCATTCTATAAAATCTATATCAGTACATTTATAGCTCAATAGATTGCGAGTCTAGCTGATATGGACTGCAACACGTTCTCTTTAACAAAGGCAGGCACAAATTATTTCAGAGTGTCGAGAGAGAGCTAGCCAGAGTGTTGGGTTCCTAGAGCGGCAAACCTTGGTTCAAATACCATTAGTCCAAGCAACTTAGAGTGCATTAGTCCCTTGGGATGATTACCCGACACATGAACTTAGGGGTCGGTTACCCGGTATCCCATCAAAACATTTCCGCATGCAACAGTTTATCGAGTAAGACTCTACATCCTTATAATCATCCTTACCAGGTAAAATTCTCAGTTTATCATGTTCATCCGATAAAATAAATGACCCAATAAATACTTACCTGGTAAGTGTTTAGTGAACGATCTCTTAGGCAACCAAAAAATCTTCAACTGACTTCATTATTGGTATGTAAATTTTAATGTTTGTGTTGTGTCAAAAACACAGGGGTGTCTATGCATTTATTACAATATTGAAGGGGGTGTTTTGAAATTTATCATTTTGCAAACAGTACTCCTCGTTAGTACATACGGCGCCAAGTCCTCTAGTTTTGTTAGTTATTTATTAATTAATATTATTAAGTTATTTTTAATATTAATTTTCCAGAAAAGTTCCATCAATAAATCCAAAGAGAGGCATTGGAATATTTGATGTATTCCGATTTCCGATCCTTCTTGTTACCCTTCAATGACAAAACAAAACAATTCAATTAAATATTATTTAATAATTCATTTTTTAGCTCTTGCGTTGAACATAGACGATATTAACTATACAATCGATTTTAAAAAATATTTTACGTATTTTTATTTATAAAAAATATAGGTAAAAAAAACTTCTTGTATTTCTTATTTTTTTTAAATTAAAATTTATAAAAATAATACGTATTTTAATCTAATCCTTATTTTAGTGAATCAAATTTTGGAAAACTCGTTAGTTTGAAATTGTTTGTTTTAGTACCAAATTTTAATGTAACGTATGTAAAATTTATGGGTTGTTTGGCTGTTACTGAATGGTTTTGTGCAGAATGATTAAGTGATTGAAATGATTAAAAGGCTCTCATGATATAATACAAAATAAAATATAATTGTTTGGTTATTATTTACAATGAAATTAGGGTGCTGAATGGTTAAAAAAAGTTCAAGATACAAAATCATTGAAAGAGTTTTGGAACCATTAAGAGCCAAAAAAAAATTATCAAACAAGATTCACCTCTTAACGATTCAGATGTTGTCTCTTAATGGAACTGTTAAGAGGTAAACAAACAATCTCCTAAAGTAAACTACAATTATAGTCTCTTTTGTTTTGCCAAAAGTAACACTTTTCATCTATGCAGATATGAAGTTACAAGATGACTATCATGGTCTGAATTTGGTCTCTCCTTCTAATGACATATAAAATTTTTCGTTAAATGAAGGGCATGTTCGTTCTTTTATCGATTTTTTTTTCTTTTAACCAATCAAAATTGATTTTATGATTTGGTCTTTGTGGTTTTTGATGGAGTAGTGGCAAAAAAATCGATAAAAAGACTTAAATACTCCTTATTTAACAGAATTTTTGACGGGTGTTTGAGGGAAGGACGAAATTCAGATGTTTTTACAAACCGTGATAGCCATCTTGTAATATCAAAACTGTAACAACAAAAAATGTTATTTTTTGATAAACCATAAGGACCAAATTTGTAGTTTACTATAAACCCTTAAATATAGTGTTTGAAACTATCTTCTCCAAACTAACACCATTGAATCTACCATCAAAGTGTTTGATATTATTGATCATAGGTGATAAGATTATTTTTATTTTTATTATGTTATTAGAAAGTATTTTAATTTAAGGGAAAATTATACCAAAATGGAACCAACTTTCACCTAATTCCTATTATGGAGAACCAACTTTCAAAATCGTCATTTTCGAGAACCAACTTGCACCTGATTGCTATTTTGGGGAACCAACTTGCAAAATAATTATAGAAAAATAACTAAAATTCGTTTTTTTTTTTCAAAAATTAATGCAATCAAATCTATTTTTCATTTCAAATCTCGTTTTTTTTTTTAATTCAGATATCAAATTGAACATTTAAAAAAAATCCAAATTACCACAATAAAAATTGTTTTTTACTAATGCAAAAAAATCAATTGATGCAATTGGTTAGATATAAAAATCTTAAATGTGATATTTAATATTTATTTTTTATTGCATCAATTAATTTAACATATACAAATAATTATATAAAACTATATGTATCATCAGGGTCGTCCCTTAGCATGTTAAATATGAGATTTTGAACATAGTCTCAAAAAATTTTGGGGCCCAATTTTACATATGTTTAGGGCATTTTCATCAATTTATGTAAAGCTATAGCCCAAATTGTTTAGATTCAAATTGTTAATTGTTTAGGTTTAAATGCCAATTACTAACGGTTTGGATTCAGGTTAGGTTCAGATTGTTGATCGTTTAGGATTAGCGTCATTTTGTGCTTAACATATATGTATGTTGTTATCTCTTATGCAATGCCATCAAAAATTCTAGATACAATAGGGCCTCCAAAAAAATTGGACCGTACATGTGTATCATTAAATGTTTTTTTTATAAAAACATGAAGAAAATAAAACTAAAAATTACTTTTTAAAAGTTTGTGAGACCTTCACCTAATTTACTTCACATGTGATTGACACCCAATGTACCCATGATGAATGTGATGCTTAGATTGTAAGGTAAAATATGTATGGTATCATGAGACTATGAATGCTTATGGTTAGACTCTTCTAACTATATGGTGAGTGTAGATGATGATGTACTTTATTTATTCTCAAAGAAAATTAGATTTAAACCTAAATTCAATTACTTTTTATTTATTTATTTATTTTGTAAAATTTCTAAATAACATTATTTAAAATTAGAGATGATCATTCGTGGACTTGAGTCAGGTCCGAACTTGGTCTAACTCAACGTTTTTGTCGAACAAGCCTAATATTGCATACTCAAACTCTTTTTTCCGGATTGAATAACGTACCTTTACCCATCCTCTAAATGGGTAGAAAAACGAGCCAAAAAAATCTTGTAATTGTCAAGAAACAAAACTTATATAAAACCACAACTTACATAAAATAATCTAAAGTACATAGTAATATTTTCAATTGAAATAAGATGTAAATATATAACAGAAAAAAAAGAGTTTTATAAAATATCAAAAATGGACAATTAAGAAATGTCATATCAGCACCATCGTACATATGGACAATCTACGTGGATAATGATGTGGCAAAGAAACCTGGTATAATGGGTAAACTTAATTTAAGATGTTACCCAATAAAAAAACTGAAAATACAATGCTATAATAAAAAAATTTGTAAAAATATGTTGCTATTTCACGTATTTTACCCAAAGAAATTTATATAGTTTAAGCCTACCCATGAATATAAATGAGTCATTTCTGGCATTTCCAATTTTTTGAAAATTATTGTCCAAAGCCTATTTTTTTTTTAACGAGTCGAACGGGTTGGTCCAGCAGATGTCTTGTCTGTAAACAACTCTATTTAAAATAATTAACAAAAAGATTAGGATCGGTTCAGCCACAATATTTAGTACTTCTTTTAAATCTATAACCTTTTAAGAAACTCGATTAGTATCAGTTAGATTAAAAAACCTGTAGCGGCATATAGTTTAATACGGTTTTTTTGTTAGTTAAATCTCTAAAATATTATTCAATAACGACATCTCTCGGGTTCAACCCCTCCTACTGAGTGAGCTAAAAAATACTACCTAATATTGATTCCTTGTAAGGCCAATTAAAATTGTAGGTATTCAAACTTTTTTTCCCAAATGATGGAAAAAACTATTCTCTAAATATTGCATATATATATAATTTAATAATATCAAATAAATGGTAATTTGAATAATTTTACTAATATTTATAATTAATTGTGAGTAGGTACTTTGTAAACTAAACAATAAATTAGAAAAATATTACTGAAAGGTACAACTATGATTTATCTTTATTTATATTTAGTTCCAGAACATATTCTATGAACCAGACATAAGGTTAAAAAATAGAATTGAATTCCATTTTATTCTATACCAATTAAATGTATGATTAAGGTGTCGTTTATTAAAAACTTACTTGGTAAGTGTTTAACGTATAAATTTCTTCATCGGATGAACATGAGATGGGTCAAGAATCTTACTGGGTAAGAGCGATTAGAAAGATGGAGAGTCTTACCCGGTAAGTGAGGATGACGACTCTTACCAAGGTAAGCACTTACCCAGTAAATCGTTGCATTCAATATGTTTTGATGTACTAAAATCTTACGCATCAAAATAAATTATATTGTTGACTCCTATTGGTAAGCGCTTACCGGGTAAGCATTTGGGTAAACGGCCCCTAAATCAGATTCAATTTGATTCCAAAATTCTTGGATTGCAATTCCTCATTAAACATTTTATGCAAACCAAAAGCGCCTTAAAGTGTTAACGAGGCTAATCTTAGAGCATGCATATTCTCTATTATATGATTTTGGCATAAGGACCTAAAATTAACTGAAAAACCTATAGTGATTTTGAAGGGACTCAAATTGGTGACCACTTATGAGCAAACTCAAGTTCTTACCAGCTAACCCACCCCCAATGGTTAACTGTTTATATGATTTTGGCATGTTTTTTAGACAGATATATATAGATCTACATATATAGAGAGGGGAGGATCAAATGAGAACAAAGTCAAATAAGAAAGCACGAGAATAACCAAATCACATGTGATTAGCGCAACCTTAGCCGCGACCTGAGATAGCGGGTCAGGTTGCCCGCACACTCTTGCATTGACCATGTTCCATAGTCACATGTGATTTTAGTGCAAAATCACGTGTGATTTGGCTATTCTCGTGTTCTCTTATTTGACTTTGTTCTCATTTGATCCTCCCCCCCTCCCTCTCTCTCTCTCTCTCTATATATATATATATATATGTACCTCTTGAAAGGTTAAATATCTCTCGTAACGTAAAACGCATTCAGTCATTTGTGAATTAAATTGAGATCCCCCCACAAGTTCTCCGCCTTCAGAATTGTATAGGCTTGTATAAAACGGGGTTGACAAAGATATATGCTTGTGCGATCGTAACAAACGCATGGGCCATGGGAAATGCCCACGCTAATGACTAATGTGTTTCAACTTGATGAACCATATAAGTAGTGTGCGTGAAGAGCTAAAAAATCTTGCCTTTTTTTGGTAATCATGGTGTCTGAGCCGGCCTGCACGCATCTCGACTATCCCATGAGGCACAGAAATAACAGCCAAGAAAATCTCCAATGATCCTGAAAAGACTTGAACCCGCGACCAATGGTGGTTGAGATCTGCCCTTGGATCATGCATCTCCCCTGCTGTAATCTCGATCAACCGCACCCTACAAAACATGGACCGTAAATGCATCTTCATTCGATACTTATGATGAATATAAAAGTTAATTCTTGTGACTATATTCAGCGTAGTGATGATATCTCATCACATAAATAGACTGCCAACAAGATGGTTCGTTACCAAAGTTTAAATGAACATGATGTAGTTAACCCACCTTTCACCCGTAGCTTCCCGAATCAAAAACAATCTTCTAAGTATTTCTCTTTGAACCGGTGGTTTTGAAGATTCCTCTAAGATCACCACCCTACCAGAAATCTCCACAGTTACAAGTTCCGTTCTTGAAATGGTGAAAACGGATTGTGTCCCTAACGGTTATCATTCTCTTTGTTATTGTACTCATATACTTTAAGGCCGTATGACAATCAACACATACTCGTAAGTTTTTGGTCACGAGAATTGGCTTCTCTGGGCTCAAACTAAGATCGCCCAAAGCAACAGCTAACTTCTCACTGTGATAAAGAAGAATATGTTCCTTCTCCTCCTCTTCAACATCCTGAAGGACAAAATTGTAATCTCCATCATATCCCAAATTTTTCATAGCCGTTAGCAATTTGTCTAACCTTGTGTTTATTAACGGCCATTGGGGGTGTGACCTATCTCCGCCAACAAATGTGTGAACGATGCCATTTATTTCAACCCAACTGCACCCTGGGCTTTTCTTGAAACCTTTGTCCCTTTGCAAGACTCGGGTTCGTGCTGCATCATCCCATCTTTTTGCTGTACTATAAATATTAGATAAAAGAACAAAGTTTCCAGTACTTTCGGGACCAAGAATCTGAATTTTGCTTGAAATCTCTTCGCCTAACTTAACATTTTTATGAATTCGACAAGCACCAAGCAATGCACTCCAAATACGAACATCAGGCTTAAACGGCATCCTAAGAATGAACTCATAAGCTTCACTCAAAAGTCCAGCACGACCTAAAAGATCGACCATACACAAGTAGTGTTCTAACCTGGGATTTATCTGAAATTTGTGAGTCATGGCAGCATACCAATGTTTCCCATCTGCAACAAGTCTTGAATGGCTGCAAGCGGATAAAAGACAGACAAAAGTGACATCATCCGGATTAAAACCAACAGTTTGCATATGTTCAAATAATGAAACTGCTACCAACCCTAAACCATGTATGCCATAACCGAAAATCATAGCATTCCATGAAACAGAATCCCTTTTATGCATTTGATCAAAAACTAGCCTTCCCATTTCTATCTTTCCACACTTTGAATACATATCAATAATAGCATTACAAACTTTGGTCGATTCTGTAAATCCTTGTACTACTGAATAGCTATGGCCGCAGGCTCCATGTTGTAGAGCTGCCAAATGTGAACATGCAGCAAAGAATCCCATCATGGTTTCCATATCAGGGTTGATACCAAATGATCTCATATCGTGAAACAAATTAAATGCGACCCTTGCATGACCATTCTGCACACAACCAGAAATGATGGAATTGAAGGATACAGTGTCTTCTAAATCCATTTGGTTGAAAAACCTAATTGCATCATCTATGATCCCACATTTGGCATAAAGAGAAAGAAGTGTGTTACCGACCATTATATAAGAAACAAACCCCAATTTGATAGAATAACCATGTATCCACCTCCCTCTGTTAATATCAGTAAGATTAGCACAGGCGCGAAGAACAGTTGCAACTATAACTGGAGACATGTTTGCACCATTTTTTACCATTAATTGGTCAAACAGTTCCAATGCCTCCATGGTTGAATCACAAGCGACACATGCTGCTATCATCGCACTCCAAGTTACATCATTTTTTACATTAATTGTATCGAAAACTCTCCTCGCGTTTTCCAGGCACTCACATTTGGCATACATGTCCAATAACCCAGTTCCCACAACCACATCACCGTCAAATCTCCTCCTTAAACAAAACCCATGAACTGCTTTTCCTTGCATCAATTCATTAGCTTCCCCAATAGCCGGAAGAATAGCCACAATGGTCGATGAATTAGGCCTCAATCCCACCTTCTGCATTTCTTGAACTAAATCGATCATTTCGTGATACATGCCATGAAGAGAACTTCCTGCAATCATAGCATTCCATGCCACAACGTCTCTATTAGGCATTTTATCAAACACCTTCCGTGCTTCACCTAATAACCCACATTTCACATAAAAATCAACCAAGGCAGTGCAAATGTAAACATCATCACCAAGAAACACACTCTTCACACGATCATGAATCAATTTACCAAATTCAACATCCCCTATTGCAGAACACGCTTTCAAAACAAACGGGTAAGTGTACTTATTGGCTGTGGCCCCTGATTGCATCATTTCAACATATAAAGTGATGGCATGATCAAAGGGTCCTTCCCAAGCGTAAGCTCTGATCAACTGGTTCCATAACAAGACATTGTTCTTTCTTTCTGGGTAAGGAATATTATCGAACACTCGGTGGGCAAGTTCGAGCTGGTGAAACGAAATGTAGACACGGGTGAGTTTGTCCAGTACAACGGAGCTGTATTTGAGATTGTTCTTGATGAAATGCTGATGAATTGTCTTGGCATTCGTTAGTGACCTTAATTTAATAGAATTCTCCAAAATTTGTAGGTAGAACGTTGTGTTAGTTATGGAAGTTCTGCTTGCAGCCGCTGCTGCCATTGACAATGATATAATGTCATTCCCGAGTTTGTGGCCTTGTCAGGTTGTCCTTGTTATTTGCTTCCCCCCAATATCCGTGGCCTAAACAAGTTTTGACATGACTTGCAACAAAAGATAGTATCATAAATAAAGTAATAAGTTTTTAACTTTACATTGTAATTTGATGGTTTTTGGCATTTTTTCTGTACGGCTTTAACAGCTCAAGATGTTGCACAGCACCTTTCGTGATCGATATCTCCAATAACTCGTACGCCTTATGGCATGCTCTTGCCAACCGGCCAAATCGTTCACACGGATTTCAGCCCCTGTGTGTGTGATGGGCGACCTCATTCATGCGGCTTAGAGGTTGTTTGATAGTTGCTGAATGGTTTGGTGCAGAATGATTAAGAGGCTCTCACGATATAGTGCAAAATGAAATATAATTGTTTGGTAATTGTTTACAGTGAAATTAAGGCACGAAATGGTTAAAGAAATGTCCATGATGTAAAATCATTAAGAGAATTTTAGAACCATTAAGAGGTAAACAAGCAACCTCTTACTTCGCCCAACATGTGGCCCGGTCCAAATCTTTGGTCCGAGGGTTTTAATCCTGCTTCTTTCCTTGTAGGGCGTAGATTTCAAAATTATCAGATATAGAAAAACTTTTTTTCTCTCTCTAAAAGCTTTCTCCCCAAGTTTATTGTAATTTTAAAATGACAATGGAGCAGTTCTTGGCTTATCATTTATCCATTGTAAAAGACTATAATTTTTTCAAGAGTATCATCATGAAAACAATCAATGAAACAGTTCTCCATGTTCTCCATCAGTGGTTTTTCCCTTTTCGGGTTTCCACTTAAAAATCTCAGTGTTTTCTCCTAGTTATGTTTTATTTTGTATTTTATGGAGTCGTTTATTATTTACATTCTTTAGTGGTTGATTATCTTGCATTATTACTGCTTAAAATCTCGATATAGAACTTTAGTTCATTTATTTTTGGGTTATTTGTATTTTACCGAGAATCGACCATTGAACATCTTCTTATTTGGATCTTGGTAATTTTGTAACAATTGATGCGTTGTTTTTTTCTTGAGGTTGATTGTTAAATGTGAAATGATTTTTTATTTATTTATAAATTTGTATTATTGTTAAAAATTAATTAAAAATATTTAGCAAAAATACAAGAAATAGGATTTTGAAATATAACAAAGTAGGAGTAGAAGCGATTTTATGTAATTTTAATTAGTACTTTTCCACGAAACTATTATGTAAATAACTAGAAGCATACTCGCGCAATGCAGCGAGATACATTGTGATTTTAATATTTCATTTTATTCTTTATCTCAGTCGATGTTATAATATGACTTTATGTGATTTTGAGAAATCGATGATGTTTTTATTTTTGAATAAAATATATGTTTGAAGATATCATAAAAATTTGACAAAAATATATCGATATTAGTATTAAATTAACTATCTGAAATTCCTCATTTTTTGTGTAATTTTTTAATTCAATTTTTTTATAATTTAATTTATGTACAATAACGAAGTAATTTATATTTGGTTTAATAATATAATTGTTTTATAAAGATAATAATTATTTATTTTGTTGGAACTCGATAATTATTCTAATTATATTTTAGATTTTTTATATTTTAAAATGTGATGTTCATCCTCT